TGTCAATCAATTAATGAATGGAAAAACTATATGGTGTATATACACATGGAATAAAATTCATCCATAAAAGGAATATAATCTTGTTATTTGAAACAACAAGGATGGAATTGGCACAGAAAGATCTCACTCACATGTGAAATCTAAGAAAAGTGATCTCATTTCAGAAGCATAGACTACAAGGGTAGTTTACTGCAAAATGGGTAGAGTAGGGAGAAGGGAAAAGATATGCCTTTTGCACAATCACAGACATTTAAAAATTAAATTCATTTATCTTTGAATTAAAGTTACTCATACAGAGAATGTTTAAAATGGAGACTTGTCATGAACTTCAGGATTATTTTTGAAAAGTCATGGTTTAAGGTTAGGTCTATAAGTGTTGGCTTAATTCTAAGTTTCTTTGGGCATCTAATTGTGTATGATTTCCTGTAAACATATAATTACCAAACATTCCCTTTTGACAAGAGGCCTATAAAGGCATACATAATTTTACTGATGAGTAGTTAAATTGAAATTGTTAATAGAAAATGTACTTGGGGTATGGCTCAAGTGGTAGAGTCCTTACCTAGGAAGCACGTGGTTTATCTATTTCATTCCCTAGTACCACAAAATAAAAAAAAACCCTTTGAAAATAAATTCAAAGAAATACTCATTGCAGAAATCTGTGAACTTATACTACAGAAAATGAATTATAAACAATATTCACTTTTCCTTACCTGGAATACATAGACTTTAAGACTTAGCTAAACCGAGATGATAATTAGCTATTTTCTACTGAGGCAATTCCTTGAGGGAGAGCCCCATAAAGTCCCGTGCTTGGAATTTAAAATGTTACCTGAACACCAGTCTTCTGAACAGGTTGTTCCCTAGTGCCTGAGCAAAGCTGGCTTCATTTCAGGTATCATGGGCTTAATGTGAAGTTAAAATGTCCCCAGCTCTAACCTTCCTGTTTAATGTCATATGAAAACATCTTAGTCCTGTCTTTACACAAAAACTCACAGGTAGATTCTAGAACAAAAATATTCATTCTCAGGAATCAACTAACATTTCTTCCTTCTGACTACTATTAACACTGGTGAGTAAAACATCTTCAAATTTTTGGAGCTCATCTAACATTTAAGTAGCACCTGAAAAGTACCAGTGCCTATATCATCATAGATATACCTCTAAATAAGATATATAATTAAGAATAGTTGAAATTAAGACTAGTTGAAATAGGTATGGAAATACATGCATATAAGTGAGTATAATAAAGTTAAATAAATTATTAGGAATCTCATTGGATGCAATGGGAGCTCCAAAGAGTGATCAATTCTACTCAGAATGACAGTTAAACCTAGGAGAATTTTAAATGTAAAGACATAATGTATAATGTGACTGTTGAATGTTAATTAAATATTTGCTAAGAAAATGAGAAGGGAGTCTAATGGGAGAAATTTCAAAATTTTACATGATGTGATTTGTATCATCCTAGCAACAACATGGAAGTTGGATTAAAATTACACAAAGATGAAGAATGAAATACTGCCAGAGACTATAAAGGTTTGAGCTAATCTTGGAGGGTGGCAAGAGGTAATAACTTCAAGAGATAATGAACAGATAAAATGTTGATGTTTGATTTAATGTGCAGATGAAAGAGATGTGTCTTCTTTGAAATATAAAACAATAACAAGTTGAGGGCAGAGAGAAGAGGTGAGCTTTGGTGGGAAAACTGCAGTTGGAGATAGCCAAATATGAAGTCAGGTATTACTATCTGGAACTCAGAAGATTTATGATAGTGCTTTAAATTCCCACAGTTTAGTAAAAATGTGCAAATATGCAGAAAAGTAGTCAACCTTATTCCATTAAATGGAACTTTCAAGAATTTTTTTTAAGTTTAAAAAAGACAAAAAGGAGGACTGGGGACAGACTTTTTTTTTTTGAGACCATAAGATTTCAGTTAATGTGAAGAACTGGATGAAGAGACTAAGAAAGGATGTTCACCAAGGGAGTAAAGAACAGCAATAGTGAGTGACATAGAGCCAACAGAAGAGAGGTGTTTGAAAGAAAATTTTCAGGATAATATTATATATTTGAGAAAAAGAAAGGGATGTACAGAATTATAGACTTACTGTCTATTTTGTTCAGAAATTCAGCAATAAAGAGAATAGAGACTATAAGGAAGTACTAAGTGAGGAACCAAAAGTGTTTCCTTTTTTTAAAAGTGAATGAGACTTAAGATCTATCTATTATCTATTCCTATCTAATACATAGATATATTTTATGCATATATACATATAAGCAACATAGTGATCAATATGATTGGTTCACTAATATAAATTCAGTAAATGAATATTATTATGCATGCAGTTTTATTTATACAAACATATTCAGAGAGAGAGGAGAGAAAGGGAAATTACTCTGGCAAAGTAGTCATTTGAGACAGAAACAGGCTGAACACATGGGTAGTCCCTGACTTGGAAAGGAGAAAAGGTAGAGATAATTTCATTTGTATGTAGGTAAGAAATTGGAGAATTAACACATAATTGCCTACATTTTCTCACTAAAATGATTGGCAATGTCTCCTCCAAAGAATGAGAGACTTGAGTACTGAATTTTCAGAGAAGTTTCTGTGATGAATCAAAAGAATTGACTTACTAAATGCAGAAGAATTTTCAGGGAAACATAGGTTTCAACATATGAGAGTTCAAAAACAGGAGAAAAAGTTTGGAAATGTTTTGTAGAATAAACTTCAAGTTGCATGTAAGGGATAAAAATATTTATGGGAACAAGTAACATTGAAGGAAAACACAATCCTGTCCAACAAATAAAGTCTTAGTTCTATTATTATTAAGTTAAAAAAATAGATGCATGATGACTTGAAAGGATTAAATTCAGTTTTTACATGTTCTCAGTATCTTCCTCAATCCTACCTTCTTTTCTATTTGAGAAGGGATAAATTAATCAATAGAATTTACAAATAATGAATTAAAAATGATAAATTGCCCAAGTATTAGTCAATATATAAATATTATACTCTATTTCTTCCATGAGAAAAATTAAAATACATTGATGGTAATTCTTGAGAACAGAATAGAATGTGTATGTGGCAGGGTATTGAAGTTTTTTTGTTGTTTCCCTCCCCCTTGTTCCTGTGGAGAAACCCTTATTGTCAAGGCTGAAAGATAAGAATTTCTCTTGGGCTACACTAATAATGTACATTAGAAGAGGGAAACAGATGCTGTGTTTGATTTTCAAGCCACTGACAACAAAATTTAAAGCATGAATAAATTGCTTTAATATGCTCATTTTTATTATAATTCTACAGCTACCATCTGATGCTTGGAGCAGGTTAAACTAGACATTAGTGTTGACAGCAATGGAGACTGTCATGTTTGATGGAAGAACAGGAAAAGCGTAAGAACAAGGATGGTGCAGAGTCAGTCCTTTGGAGAAAAGAAGCCCTAGTTCTCTCTAATCCCTGCTGCCACATTGAGTAAGCTGGGAAACGGAACTGTAGCTGATTGATTTAGGGCACTTCAAAGACTGTTCTTAGTGAAAAATATGCATCTTAAAGATTCCATTAAGCGATTTATCAGAATAAATTATATTTAAAAAATAGAAAAATGTTTGTTCACATGATTTTTAACATTTTCCCATTGCTTAGTAATTAATAAGTGCAACAAGCCAAATAGCTGATGGAATAACTCATGTAATTTGATTACTAAGTTTTTGTGTGTGTAGAATTGAAAAGAAACATATAGATGCTCAGTTAAATAAATAATACTTAGTGCTTATGTGTTACATCCCATTGTCGGGTTGAAAGAGAAAAAAATTAATGCAAAAATCACTTAGAGTAATTCTGATATTCAGAGTTAAACTACTGTTCCACTATAATAGTACATTTAAAACAAACCCTCTGTTATCATGTTATATCTGGTAACATGATAACATGTTTTGTTTATTTGTTTAATTCATTGTTGTAAGAAATGGGATCCCACTGTCGAATGTATTTCAAATCCATTGAGAAATTCACAATGAGAGATGATACTGGAAAGGGATATTTCCCAACACCTGACTTTCTGCCTATTACATGGAAAGAATTCAAAACTTCAGAAAAATCATTATTTGTTCAAATCAGGTTAATTGAAAATGTTCAACCCTGGGTCCTCCTAAAGGTTTCAAAAATGTAAAGTTGTTCTCTGAAGAAGGTATCCTCATTCACTTGCAAGATTGCTCAGGTTTCAAATCTAAAGTCAATGCCTGATATCAATGTACAAATTTTAAATTTTATTTTTGTTTTATTTTCAATTGATACTTAATAATTATACATATGTATGGAGTACAATCTGGTGTTACAATTTGAGATATATTTCACTTTGCAGGATTATTCTGAGAAGTTCATTTCAACTAAACATAATCTTTTGAAAATGATAAAAGCCTTCCAGAAATGAGAAACATGAATTTTCTTTGAACTGACATCTCTCCTACATTTTCATCTGTGTTGTCCCTAATCCCTTTATGAGATCATATCAATAACTTCATTTGAATGAGATGAAGGAGAATGATGGAGGGAGTGGATTCGACTATGATATAAGAACTTTGGTAAATGTCACAATAATAAAAAACTTCATTTTATATCGTTAACAAAAGAGGTTTCATGCATTATCACAATACTAAGATACCATATATAAGATGAAATGAGACTAGCATAGCAGTATCATTTTATTGGATTTATTGAAGGTATACATTTCCCTCATTTCTTCCAACTTTTACAACTGTAATTCTGATCCAAAAATGTATATGACCACACTCAGGTTATCCATTTCTGAATAACTGCTAACTACTTTTTCAAAGTGAACGTTTAACGAATCACAATGATGACAAATTCATCTTGATATCAGTAGCTCTATGCTCAGGACACTGAGATAATCGATATATAGATACATTAAATACCACACATTCTTTTCCTATTGTTCTTTGGTTTCCTAAACAGAGCTAAACTTTGAATTTTCAAAGTGACCATGGTCAACTTGACCTTACAGAATGGATTCCTCCTCATGGGGTTTTCCAATGACCGTAAATTTCAGATTTTTTATGCACTGCTCTTTTTGGTGGCATACCTGCTGGCTGTAACAGGCAATCTCCTCATTATCACCATCATTACCTTGGACCATCATCTGCATTCTCCCATGTATTACTTCCTGAAGCATCTCTCTCTTCTGGACCTCTGCTTCATCTCTGTCACAGTCCCCCAGTCCATTGCAAACTCGCTTTTGGGCAATGATTATATTTCCCTCAGTCAGTGTATTCTTCAGGTTTTCTTCTTCATCGCTCTGGCTTCATCCGAAGTGGCCATCCTGACAGTGATGTCTTATGACAGGTATGCAGCCATCTGTCGACCACTGCAATATGAGACCATTATGAATCCCAGAGCTTGCAGCCATTCTGTGATAGCTGTGTGGAGTGCAGGGGGCCTCTCTGGGCTCATGCACACAGCCATTAACTTCTCAATTCCGCTTTGTGGGGAGAGAGTTATTCACCAATTCTTCTGTGATATTCCTCAAATGCTAAAACTAGCCTGTTCTTATGAGTTCAGTAGAGAGATTGCAGTGGCTGCATTTACAACCTCCTCAGCATTCATCTGTTTGATCTCCATCATGCTCTCCTACATTCGCATATTTTCAACAGTGCTGAGAATACCATCAGCTGAGGGCCGAACCAAGGTCTTCTCCACTTGCCTGCCACACTTATTCGTAGTCACCTTCTTCCTCTCAGCTGCAGGCTTTGAGTTTCTAAGACCCCCTTCTGGTTCCCCTTCAGCCATGGACCTTATGTTCTCCATATTCTACACGGTGATCCCTCCAACACTCAACCCAGTCATCTATAGCTTGCGAAATGAAGCCATGAAGGCAGCTCTGAGGAAGGTCCTGTCTAAAGAAGAATTTGCTCACAGAAAGATGCATTTAAAAGCCATGTTTAAACTCTAAAAGACATACAAATTAAAAGCATTGTTACTATGCTCCATATTGGAAGAGTCTGATTTCTTCTTATTCCAAGTTTCGTATTCTTTATGCTCTCAAATATAACTCTGAAAAAATGTAAATTGTCTTGCTTCTAATAGCTTTCTTTTAAACAGTCAAGTGCTATTTTAATGCATCTTTTTTAAAAGCCTTTGAAATAACAGAGAAAAGTTAATTAGCTTGTGGCATAGCCAGAATAATTTATAGCTGGTTTTAACAATTACATCCCAGACTGCTATTGGGTAAGCCAACATCATTTACATGATAGTGTGTCATTGGTATATGTATGTAATTTCCAGAGCAGGGAGACTCTAGAACAGGGTGCTCTGGGCTCTACCCAAGAAAAGTTTATCCTTTTATGGCTCTAAAGTTGGATATTTCTGAATTTACCCTTGTCTCAGTTCTCTCACTGGTACCCTCCCCTGCCTTTCCAAATTGTCTGCCTTTCCTTGTGATGCACAGATGACACGAGCAGGAATTGCAGGTGCTCAGGGTTCTTGAGCTCACTCTGAGAATGAAAGCACAGGCAGACTCCAGAAGCAGAGGTCAGAAAGATTTTATTTGTAGAGAAGAGAAGAGAAAGATTGCATGGTGGGGAATGCAGAGGGACCCAGAAACTGATGGTCTTTGGGTCAGGGTGGGGATTGGGTTTTATAGCCTTTTTTGTGTATTGCCTGATGGCAGAGATATCTTTCAGATGCAGACGGGTTTTTCCTGAGGAGAAGTGTCTCCTTGACCTCGTGCAGTCTGTCCTTCAAGTCTCCTCTCTCAGTGACCGCCCTAACTGCTGTTAGGAATAGGGACAACAAAGTCTATTTAGTAACTGCTTCCTGCTGATGTGGGAGGTGGAGGGGCCCACAGCATCAGGGCTGGCCACGAGAGGGGTTATCATGGGAACTGCAATAGGAGGTTGTTTTCATCTCCATCAGAGACATTTGTAGTTTGATGGATTCTAGGTGAGAAGAAACAAACTCGACAAGTAAGTTTAAAATGCAAGGTCCAAATGCAAACAAGATAATAATGGCAACTATAGGCCCCAGAAAGGGTAGGAACCAAGTCCTGGAGGGGAGCCAGGATTTTATTTGGTTCCTTACCTGTATAGAAACCTGAGTTTCAGGAGATTACTCCTGGAGCCACTTAGCCTGTTGGAGAATGTAGTCTGCACGTTCCTCTACAATGCATGAAGTGTTTACATATGTGCAACAGGAAGTATTGGCCATGGCACATACCCCTCCTTGTTTAGCCAAAAGAAAATCTAGGGCCAGGTGGTGGTCCATGACCATGCAGGCAAGAGACGACAAAGACCTTTGCATGTCCTCAATGGCAAGGCCTACTGAGGTGTCCTCTACTACTTTGGTTAGGTTTTTTGCAGTTATATGATTGGCAATCACCCCAAAGCTGATTCTAGCTAGGGCTGTAACTAATGCTAAAACTATCCCTAAAACTATTAAAGTAACCTCTCTTCTATCTCTATGAGAAGCTGTTCCTGTTTGTCGGGAAAATTTAGTTTGTTGTATTTCAGTATTATTCCAAAAAGAGATGTGTTTATTATTAGGTATTAGTTGGGCAATTCCCCAATTTCCTCAAGTATGGTTTGGATGTAGACATGGTAGCCCCCATACCTGGTCCTTTTTCCATTACCTCCCTACAAAGAAATAACCCTCCTCAAGACATAAAATACCTTGGGTGTTGCTAACCTGGGCCTGGGAGGTGACTCCTGGCAACAAGAAGTCAGAGACATTAAGACCGCTGGTAAAAGATGGTGGCACAGGGGGTGGAAAGGTAGAGTTATACAGTTTTCTTAATCCTGTTGTATATTTTGTTGAGATACATTTGTGATGGCTAGTAGTAAGTATGCGATAAGAGTTTTACCAGTGAGGTTTGAGGACTTGGTTGGCTCGGAGACAAGGCTCCCATTACAATCATTAGCCCTAAGCACATTGGGACCCATAAAAGTGGGGCTCTTAGAGTTACTTATACAGCACCAGCTGGCTGTGAGATGGTAGTCACCTTTAAGGATAGTAAAGTCAAAAATGACTTTTGGGGATGTAAATCCTAGGTCTTTCATTGTCAAATGGCAAACTGTTATATAGCTGTCTGGGACAAAAACATTAAACATCCAAATTTTGTCTGAGAAATGAACCCAAGCCAAGAGTAAGACATAGTAGGCTGGTTCATCCATGGAACCTCTGTAAGAGAAACCACCGTGTAGGAGAAGTTATCTGGCCTGAATATCAAAGAAGGGAAGGGACCCTGAGTGAAATTTAATAGGACCCATACCAGCAGGTAAGCAGCTGTCGGTCTGTCATAGCAAACCCAGGAGTCCTTTAGTGGAGATTTTGGAAGGGTAAATGCTCAAGAGGGATTTAAGAACCCGTTGGTTTTCCATAAAGGGCTGTAGTTCTTCCCATATAGGGGTGCTAGTGTACCCAGAAGACCAAACCCTATAGCAATATAGCTAACAAATGAAAGAAAGGAATATGCTGATGCTGTCTTTTGAGTTTTAGTCCAACTAGAGGGAGCTGTAGCAGCTAGCCCTATTCCCAAAGTAGTTACAAGCAGAATGAATAGACTGATTAGGAGGTTTTAGAGGTTTGGATCAAGAAGGCTCATGGAGGTGACTTATCCATATCTTTTTGAACAGCAGTTTTAATCCATCCAAAGGTTCACATGAGAAGGAGGCAGGCTCCAATTCTGGGTCTGGAAGTGGAGATGTGATGTTCACAGAGGAATTCCAGCTCTTGACTCTTGAGTAATGGCTCCAGGAATCCAGGCCGGCCACTCGCACTGCCATTGGGGTAGACAGAATAACTGGATATGGCCTCTCCCAGAGTGGGGTGTTTAAGTCCCGGGTTGGATTTGGAGACTTTATTAGGGCTAAGTCACTAGGGAAAAAGAGAGGGAGTCCATTTATACCCTCCCTGGGGGAGGCTTGTTTGATCTCCTAGAGTGTTTGTTGGAATTTAGCAAGTTGAGTGACATGGGAAATTAACTGCGTTGTCTCTTGTTCAAGAAGGAGGTCATTGATTAGGAAGGGCCTGCCATATAGAGATTCAAAAGGGGTCAGTCCCTGCTTGCTGCAGTGTCTCTGAGCCTGATGAGAACAATAGGGAGGAGCTTGGTCCAGAGGGAGTGGGTTTCTTGGGCCAATTTAGCCAGGTATCTTTTTAAAAGTTCATTTGTTTTTTCTACCTTTCCAGATGACTGGAGACGCCAGGCACAGTGGAGCTGGTATTCTATGCCTAGGGCTCTAGAGAGTCCCTGACTTACTTCTGCCTTAAATGCAGGCCCATTATCACTTTGAGGGCTTTTGGAGAGGCCAAATTGAGGGATTATTTCTGTGATTAGAACTCAGACCACCTCCCTAGCACATCCTGTACTTCAAGGAAAAGCCTCTACCCATTCAGTGAACGTGTCTACAAATACTAAGAGCAGTTTTGACTTTGGTCTCCCTGGCATATGGGTAAAGTCTAGCTGCCAGTCTTCCCCAGGATAGGATCCCTGACTTTGTGCCCCTGGCATCTGGAGTCTTTTATTATTGGAATTTTTTTTTGGCACAATTCACATCCCTGTACAATTTGTTGGGCAGTGTCTGTTAATTTAGTGCCCACAAACATTTTTTTGGCCAAAACCAAAGTATTGTCCAAGCCCAAATGATAGAGTTGGTGGAGAATCTTAAGAATTTTCCTTTGGAGTGCTTCAGGGAGCCATAACTTCCCTCCAGGAGACACCTACCAGCCTTGGTGATCTAACTGGTACTTTTGGTCTGAGACTTGCTTACTTTCCTTGACTGATAATGTGGTATCTCTAGGGGAAAGAGAGTCCTCTCCCAGAGGAGTGGGCCAGCTATATATTCCTGCATGGCTGCCTGTTTAGCCATCTCATCAAGTGCTTTGTTTCCCTTTGCTATCTTATCTTTCCCTTATTGGTAACCTTTATAATGAATCACTGAGACCTTTTTAGGCAGAAGAACACCATCTAGGAAGGCTAGTATGTCACAAGCATGTCTAATGGGAGAATCTGTTGTAGTTAGCATTCCCCTTTCCTTCCAGATGGCTGCATGAGCATGCATGATCAGGAAGGCATACTTAGAATCTGTATAGATGTTGACTCTCTGTTCTTTTGACAGTCTTAGGGCTTCTGTTAGGGCCACTAATTCTGCCAACTAAGCACTTGCATTAGGAGGAAGAGGACCTGATTTAAGGATGCCAAATTCTGTTATAACCACAAACCCTGCATGTCTGACACCATTTTTGACAAAGGAACGCCATCAGTGTATAATTCTAGATCTGGGCTTTTTAAGGGCTGATCAGTTAATTCAGGTCAGACAGCATAATTTTCCATAAGTACCTCCTCACATGAATGTTCAAGATTTCTTTCTGCCTCTGGTAGAAGGGATGTAGGACTTAGGCTCTGACAGGTCCTTAAAGTTATTTCTGTCCCTCCCAGAAGCTGGGCCTGGTATTTAAGTATACAGTTGTCAGATAACCAATGTTCTCCTTTTGATTTTAAAATTCCCCCTAGGTTGTGTGGGGTATAAACCACTAGGGGGGTGTTTTTGAGCTTCAGGCACTAGAAGGCTTACTGCAGCCACTGCTCTAAGACATCCTGGCCATCCTTGGCTACCTGATCTATTCTTTGCTTAAGTAGCCTACTGGCTGGGGAATGATGCCCTGGAGCTGACTCACTACTCCCAAGGCCAGCTTCCCTTTTCATAGACATATAATTGAAACTTGTTTTGTACTGGGAGACCCAGGGTGGGGGCTGTCATAAGAGCCTTTTTAACCTGTGGAATTCATTTTCTGACTTGTCATCCCATTCAGTAAAGGGCTGGGGATCCTTCTGTGTTTCCTTAAAGATTTGATATAAGGGCCTGGCTAGGTCTGCATATCCCAGGATCCAAATTCTACAGTATCCTGTGACCCCCCAAAAGGCCCTCAGTTGCTTTAGAGTTTTAGGTAGAGGAA